GTTAAATGTATCTTTATTTCATTCTTTACAGATGAATAGTGCTAAGTAGAGCGCAAACAGATTTGCTGGTCGTGAACTTGTTTTGAGCCGGATACTATTAATCCTTCTAAACTGACCATCGAAACGGAAAAAAAACTCTCATCATTGCTTTCAGTCGATATTATGGGGGTGTAGCATCGAAAATTATGAGCCGTACAACACTATCAAATCGGTATGATTCTTTTTGTGAGTTGATGAATTTTATACAATCAAGACTCAATCTGTAGCCTAGAGTCTGAAGATAGTACTCGTGAGGGGCACCCATTTAGCATCACTTTTGGAAGATAACACAATTATGAAAGAAGGCCCAATAATTGTTCCAGAAGGAGAGGCTTCGCTTAATCGGTGCATGAAGGCTACGGTAACAGTAAAAGTATTCTTAAAATTAGAATTGTGTTAGGTCATGAATACTTTTAACTCAAACAACTCTCTGAAGCAAGCATTTGTGAAATAAAGTTTAGACAATCTTCACATTATAGGTGAAGCGGAAGAACAACGATTTTGCTTCCCTCCACCTCCTCGTTGTCGACAGGTTAGCGAGTGGGGTCATTGGAGCTCATGCCATAGCGAATGTGGACAAGGAGAACAAATTCGAAAAAGAATTTGTTTGACGTCTAATTGTGACGAAGCGACTGAGGAGAGGCGACCGTGCTGGAATTCTAACAAAGTTGGCCTTTTTCGGCTTACAAGTATAGCATTCTAGAAGGGAAGTGATCGAACCGAGAGTGTTCTAGGGTGCATGCTGGCTGGAGTGGTCAGAGTGGAGCGAATGTTCTCAAACCTGCAATGGTGGACACAGGAGAAGAGAAAGAACTTGTCCACAACCGGGTACATGTAAAGGTGGCGCATTTGAAGTGGAACAATGTAACACACAGGTACTTTCAAAGTCATTAAATTACTTAACATGAACCCAAAAATCTAAATTTTAAAGGACCGAATCTGAGAATTTCGTCATTGCGTCTGTTTCTGCGCTTGACTTTTCTTCCTAAACTTTGCGTTTGACTTTTGAACTCTCCCCTTAGCATTCTTCATGAATTGGTTTCTTTAATGTTTTAGTGATTGCGTTTGGTTACCTTTTGAAAATTCTTTCGCATTCCTAGATGACGCGTATAGATGCATTTCTAAAATTAGTATACCAT